TGTCCCAAGGGTTTGGTATGTTGTCTCAGAAAGCATAAGAAGAAGAGGTAAGGAATGCAAAGAGCCACAGTGCCAAATAGAATTCATAGATGTTCAACCATTTCGAGAGCTAGCATACAATGAGGAATAGATGGTATTGAAGGAAGAAGTCCAAGTTGCACTGAAAAAATTGAAAAAGCGCAAGTTGCCAGGAAATGATAGGGTATCAATTGAAATGTTTCAACAAAAGGATGCAGTGCTGGAGGTGCTCACACATCTATTCCAAGAAACTTGGAAAACAGCTACCTGCCAACTGTTGAAAGAGATCCATATTTGTGCCCATTGCAAAGAGAGGTGACCCACCAGAATGCGAAAATCATCATACAATATAACATGCAAGTAAATTTTGCTGAAGACAATTCAAAAATGGTTGCAGCAGTATACAGACAGGGAGCTGCCAGAAATGTAAGCCAAATTCAGGAGAGGACGTGGAATGAAGGGTATCATTGTTGACATCAGATGAGTCTTGGCTGAAAGCAGAGAATGCCAGAAAGATGTTTACTTGTGTTGTATTGATTATACAAAAGCATTTGGTTATTCAGATTATTAAAAAATTATGAATATTGAGACAAATGAGTATTTGAAAACACTTAATTTTGCTCACGAGGGTCCAGTACATAGACCAAGTGGGAGTTTTTAAACAGAACATGTTCTGATTATTAATGGGTGTTTTCAACTGTTTCTCCTCAATTTGAGCTGCACACCATCAATAAATGAAGGTCCCTAAAGCTTTACTCCATTCACGTTATCCTAGCATACCCTACTTTGAGGAGGCAGCTTTTCCCCAGTCATATTTTGAGTGGCTTGCAACTTGAAGGTCACATCTTCTGCCATCATATCTGACACTATTTGGCTAATAGACATCATAAGGTTTTCAGTGGCTAACAATTCAACCATGCCAGTTGCCTCTGTCTTAAGGTGCTCTTAAACAAGAGTCATTTTCCTTCTTTGACTTTCGTCATATTCAGATTTGCATTTGTTTTCCTTTTGCATCAATGCCTCCAAAGGCAATGCCAACTTTCTTAGAAAGTTAAATGGGGAAGGGAAACTATGATGTATTGTAAACTATGAAAAATAATGATACAGAACTTTTACATTTCCATTTTCACTTCCCTATTTTGGTACTAGCCTGAAGATGAAAGAGAAAATATTTCAGATGTGAACTGTCCTGAATCCTCAATAAATCTCTTTCTTTTATTTTAATAGAGTACCCATTTTCACTAATTGACAATATAAGTATTCAATAGTTTCAATGACTTGAACTTAACACAGAAGTCAACATTTGACCAATTAGAAGACTTTTTCTATTTAAGGTCAATAGATAGAAAGGATAGTTTCACTTTGACCCTCCAGCCATGAGTGAGCCTGCTGATGCTGGTGACATAGCTTCCAGCATTACAACAACATGAAAGGCACCACAGTAGGACAAACTATGACGAGAGATCGATGAAGCTAGATGATGAGTAAGGAAGACCTTAGAAGAATCGATGTATTTGAATTATGATGATGTCGAGAAATATTGAAAGTAGCATGGCCTGCCAAAACAACAACACAAATTTGACTTTGAAGAAGTGCAGTCAGAATGCTCCTTAGAATAAGGCTAGCAAGCCTTCATCTCATGTACCTTGTGTATGTTATCAAGAGGGACCAGTCACTAGAGAAGGACACCATTACTTGGTAAAATAGAGGGTCAGGGAAACAGATGAAGACTACCAATGTGATAGACTGGCACGGTGGCATCAGCAATGGACTCAGAGTAGCAACAATTGTGAGGATGGTTCAGGACCAGGCAGTGTTGCATTTTGTTGTACATGGGGTCACTATGACTAGGAACCGACTTGATGCCACCTAACAACAATAGCCAGAACCATGTAGCGTATATTCAGGGAAAAGGCCACACTACAGAAAGAGTTCCATAGGTTTCATTTTAATGTCCAAAGAGACCAGCTTCTTAGCAGAAGGCATGTAAACCTGTTCATCCAGTTTGAGGGCAGTGAAATTGGAGATTGTTCCTATTGAAAGGGTGTAGTAATGTTTGGGTAAAATGAGGGACTACAACCAAAACCAAACCAGCTGTCACTGAGTCACTTCTGATTCACAGCAAACCCTGTATAGGGTTTCTGAGAGTCTAACTCTTTATGTTAACAGAAAGCCTCATGTTTTCTCCTACAGAGTGTCTGGTGGAGTTGAACAGCCAGTCTTGTGGTCAGTGTTGCTGTTATTAGGTGCTGTTCAGTGGGTTCCAACTCATAGTGACTTCATGCACAACAGAACGAAACACTGCCTTCATCTTTTTGACTAAAACTGTGTCATCCTCAGAATCACTGTTAAGCTTGATCCCATTTCTGCTGCCATTGTGCCAATCCATCTAATCAGGGGTCTTCCTGGGTTTTGCTGACCCTCCACTTTACCTAGCATGATGTCCTTCTCCGGGGTCTGGTCCCTCCTGATAACATATCTGAATTTTAAGAGGTAAATCCTCACCATCCTGTCTTCTAAGGAGCATCCTAAGGATTCTTTGGTCACATTCTGCTTTCTATGTGGGGACCACAGACCTAAATGATTCTGTATGCATAGATTAAACTTATATTGTGTAAATGTAAAGTTGTATGGGTTTTGACAAATGCATTGTAGCAATATCAATCATGTAAATATACAATACCCCGTTCAATAACCCCATGAGCTTCTGGAAGCCATCAATTTGTTTAACATTTCTATGTCAATGCAGTGCAGTGCAAAGTGCCACGACTTGTGGAGTTTTTGAGGAGTGGCTAGTGAAAGAGAACATGTCTATCACTTTCACTTTTCCCAAATGTCATATAAATGATATC